CATACCTGGTGTGAGTTTAAGCCACCAGATCTGGGACTCAAACTGCGGCCAGCTACGTGGGAGTTCAGTGACATAGCCATTACGCTAACTGCTGGTCCCTCTGTTCCCTGCTTTTCTTCAAAGGTTTTCTCTACATCAGCTTCTGTCTTAAATTCAATGTAGGCAATCCCCTTACTTTTTCCATCTTTGCTGATTATTCTGATCTCCATGGCATCTTCAGATACTTCTTTTAATTCATCTTGAGTGACTTTGTAGGGGAGATTTTTGGCCAAAAGTGTTCTTGCATCTCAATCTTTCTTTTCTTTTTGGTTTCTCTAGTTTAAATTCATTGCCAAAGACTTAAACCTGTGAGTTCCAAAGCTTTTTCTAAATCTTCAGCAGATTTAAAGTCAACATAGCCAAACTTCCTAGATGTACCGATTCTGACATCCACAACAGCAAGATCATTTTTAGCAAAAACATCACTAATGCTCGTTTTTAATTCAGGGATAGATTTGTTATTGTTCAGGTTTCCAACAAACAGATGAAAGGATGTAGTTGGTTCTGTGGCTCCCACCTTCTGTTTCTTGGCCTCAGGAGCTGCTTTCTGTTTGGTCACTTCTTTCATTTTCCTGGAACTTCTTTGACAGGCTCTTCCTCCTCCTCATCGTCTTCATCATCATCATCATCCTTATCTTTGTCCTCATCATCTTCATCCTCATCATCCTCTTCATCTTCAGCCATGGTCTTGGCTTTCACAGGTGCAGCTTTTGCAGGAGCTTTCTTTCCTTTGGCTGGTGTGGTCTCTATATCTTCAGACTCATCTTCCTCTTCCTCCTCACATCCCCATCTTCTTCCTCCTCATCATCCTCATCCTCCTCCTCTGAGGCCAAGGGCGGCAGCTGCTGCTTTCATCACCACTGGCTCAAATTCATCCTCATCCTCATCATCTTCCTCACTGTCATCTTCTTCCTCCTCGTCACTGTCTTCCTTCTTGGCATTCTTGCCATTCTCTGCCCCCTTGGCTGGGGGGGCAGGTCCTTTCTTACCAGGAGTTGCTACCAAGGCTTTGCCTGGTGGGCCTCCCTTCTTGCCAGGTGTTGTGACTGCTTTGGCTGGTGTAATGGTCGCCTTGGATGGTATGGCAGCTGCCTTTTTGCCTGGGGTCACTGCTGCTTTCTTGGCAAGTGTGGCAACTGCAACCATTTTTGTTGGAGAAACTACGACCATCTTTGCTGGAGTTGTGGGAGCCTTCTTGCCTTTTTTCTGAGGGATGATAACGTCTTCACTGCTATCATCTTTATCTTCTGACATTTCCTCATCTTCACTGTCTTCTTCTACCTCCTTTGGAGGAGGAGCCATTTTTTTGAGGTCACCTTGATTTTTACCAGCCTTAGCGAGCTTCACCGTGATGGCGGCTTACAATGGCAGAGTGTGTGGTAGGCAGGTGGGTGGCACTGATGAATCTTGAGGAACTCCAGCAATGTTGATGGTGGCTATGAGCACTGAAGATCCCAGAGCGCGTATGCTCAGCGGCCAGCTAGAGCTCGAGACTGAGGCGAAAGCTAGAACAGTTCTGTGCATTGATAACCACTTACTGTTATTTTGATATTTATCTTTATTAATATGTACATCTCTGCAAATGTATTTAAAAACTAAAACTTTGGCATTGCTAGCTAGACTTACTGAGGTTTTGAGGTAAAACCAGGACAATTAAGAAGAAATGTTCAATAGGCAGATGGAAATACAGAATTAACTCCTAGTGTGTAGATCTGGGAGATAACCGTATAGTGGTAGGCTTTGGGAATTGATATGATCTTTTCACTCTGAAGAAAACAGTGCAGGGAGCCAGCAATGTTGTGGTGAAGTCGCTAGACTCCCACACAACTGACCACAGTTTGAGTCTTGGATCCGGTGGCTTGAAAATCACAATGGGTGAGTGTGCATGTGTGCCCAAAGTCCCAGGAAGAGAATGGAGGAGAAGGAATTGTGGTGTGACTGTCCCCTGGGGAGTGACTTCTCACTTTCCTTCTCTCTGTCTCTCTCTGGTGAGTGCACATGCCCTATGGCAAAAACCCGAAAAAGAAAATACAGTGAAGAATAAATGTTGGAGCTATACTGGGAACTTGAAGATTATTCAGTGGGTAAAAGAAGCACTGTAGAAATGATGGAAATAGCATCAATTTAAAGTATGAAGACCAGGTTAGTGAAGTGTTCTCAACTAGAGAGAAGAGAAAGTTCAGAAGGGAGCATTGCCAGTGACAATGCTTGCAGAGATGGCAAAGATAAAGAGAACTGAGAGGGCAAAGACTGGAATTCTGTTGAAAGTCCATTAGTTACATCTGAGCACGTAGTTCAGTAGAGTTAGAAGAAAACAATTTTCGATCATTAGAGAGTACATAGATGCTGTGCTTTCCGAGGGAGTTTCTGTTAGATGGTTCTGTAGGAACATGCTAGCTTACATCCCTAACTGATGAAGCTATCGATGTCTTGTTCCTACTTCTTGCTAGCTTCACCATACTAAGCATATAGTAGATGTGTCAAAAATAATAACTTGATGAGTAAAAAAAGAAACAGATATGGATCACTATTAAAAACATATAATAATAAAAGAAAGATACAGTCTTACCCTGTGTAACTGTTTTGGTAAGTTGCAGATTTACCAGTGGTGGTTCCCATGGGATTTGTAATGCATGTATCATATAGCCTAGGCCTGTATCTAGGTTCGTGTCAGTGCACTTCAGTTCATACAAAGGCGAAGTCATCTGATGATGCATTTCTCAGAACATAGCCCTGACATTAAGCAACACATGGCTATTTATAGTAGTATGGGCTAAAATGAGGATTTTATTATACATATTTTGTGGGGTTGGATTGTTTGAAACAGAGGTAGGAACCAGTGGAAAGGAAGGATGTACAAAGCAAAACTAAGAGAATAAAGGGCATGTATGTGGAGCTATACCTAAATTTTTCTTTTTTAAAGGGTTTTTTTTTTTTAACTGTATTTGTTGTTATTGTTATTATCTTTAATTTGACCAGAGAGAGACAGAGAGAGAAAGGGAAAGTGAGAAAGTGAGAAAGTAAGCTGTCAGGTCTGGGACTTAAACATGGTTATATATATATAGAATGAAAGATGATTATTACCATGGCATTTCCCAAGGTTTCTCCTTAACTTTACTACTTAGCAACCATTTCAGTATTTTTCAGAAACTTCAGTACTTCAGTCTACCCCTTTTTTCACCAAGATACTAAATTTTAAAAGGTAGAATAACATTTCTTGGGCTGACCCTCTAGCACAGCAATTAAATGCTGTGTGAAGGGAGTTGGATCCCATATAACCCACCACAGTTTAAATTCCAGGTCAAGAGGGCCGGCAAATGGCATGGTGGATAAGGAGCTGAACTCCCACTTGGCAGACTATGGTTCTGGTCCTGGACTCAGTGGCTTGAAAGTCATGCTGGGCACACATGCATGCATGCCCAAAAAGCCAGGAGGAGGAGAGATTGGAGTGTGGCCATCCTCCTTAGAGAGTGATTTCTCACTTTCCCTTTCACTGTCTCTCTGTTTCTCCGTTGAGCACATGTGCCTGTGGCAAAAACCTTAACAATCAATCAATCAATAAATAAAAAATAAATTAAAAATATAAAGTCCGGTTTTGGGGTTTTAAAAACATGCGTGCCAAGTGCATGTATGTTTGTGCTGTATATCCTTACAGGATGGAGCAGTTGGGGGCTGTTACAGTGTTAACCATGTCCTACTCGAGGGGTTCTCTCTTTCTCTGGTGTGGGCACCTGCCCTCTGGCAATAAAAAAATTCCTTCACATTTGAGAATTCGTGTTCTATAATTATGAAATTATATAGTAAGTAGGACTGTATTATAATAAAACTGTTAGCAAGTGGTTTGGCGGTTAAGGTGCTGGACTCCCACATGACTGACTGCAGTTCAAGTTCTAGACCTGGTGGCTTGCTTGCTTTCTTCCTGTCTCTCAGTAGCTTCTTCTGGTGAGCACTTGTACCCTATGGCAAAGTTAAAAAAAATAATAGGGACCAGCAGATTGCAGAGTGGTTAAGTTGCTGGACTCCTACGCAGTAGTTGACCGTGGTTCTAGTCATGGACCCAGAGGCTTAAAACTCAAACCATGATCTCTTCAAATAATAATAATACATATATACAATTAAAATACATAATTCTTAAAAAAATTATAATCTACAGTAATATAAAGTATTGTCAGAGTATAATTTTCTTTGCATTTTTGTAGTGTCTATAACATCAAAAACTATCTTTTAAGAATTATTTAATTTTATTTATTATTACTATTTTTTAAAGATTTTTGCTATGAGGGCATGTGTGCTCACTAAAGAGACAGACAGAAAGTGAGAAATCACCCCCCCCCCAGGGGGATGGCCACACTGCAATCCCCTCTTCTCCATTCTCCACTCAGTATTTTGGGCATGCACATACACATGCCTACATGTCCGACATGAGTTTGAAGCCGCCAGGTCCGGAACTCTTAATTATATTCGTCTACGTGGGAGTCCAGCAAAGCAACCATTACCCTATCTGCTGGTCCCATTATTACTATTTTTTCATTTGCTGCAGTGTGCTCATCACAGAGAAAGTGAAAAAGCAAGCTGCCAAGTCTGAGACTTGAATTGTGGTTGGCCATGTGGGAGCCTAGTGCCTTAATCACCACTCTACCTGCTGGCCCCTTAAAAATAATCTTTAACGTTGAAACATTTGCAATTCATACACAGAGTTTGAAAAAGTAATTAGTATTAGCAGGAGAGAAATTTCCACTGAAACTCACTTACATAAATATTTCATATTCTGGAAAATAATCTGAACCATCAGTGATTAATGAAGTAATAATAGTTAATAATGTAAAAGATGTCAAAAATACAACTAGGTATCTTTCTTTTTTTAAGTGTATTCTGTGAATGAGAGAGACAGATAAATGATACTCTTTTTAAGTTATTTACTTATTTAATTCTATTTGTTATTCTTTTTTTAATTTGACCAGGAAGAGACGGAGAGAGAGAAAGGGAAAGCGAGAAAGCAAGTCGCCAGGTCTGGGACTCGAACTGAGGTCAGCCATGTGAGAGTCCAGCACCTCAACCACCACACCACCTGCTAGCCCCGATAAATGTTACTCTTAACAGAGAACTAACACTGAATCTGCCATTGGCCCTAAGTCATGGGCATGCAAATAAATGCCTAGCTTACTCATGGAGGTCTCTGGATGTGAATTGGAATCTTCATCCCCTCCACCTGACAGGGCCTTGTCATATTGCTGTCTCCTTTCATTATTGGCCCTTTTGGTCATGGAGATTTTTGCCACACTCCCAGCATGTTGTTAGGCCAACCCAGGGATCCAAACTGTGGTTGGCCATGTGGCTTTTATCACTGCAATTCAGTTTGCTACCCACTTTGCCACCAGGCTGGGCCCATATTTAAGCTTATGACTCTAAAATCAAATGCTTATGTTGGATTCTAATAACAAGGTTGTTTTTTTCTTCAGGTCTTTGTAGGTAAAATTCCAAGAGATTTATATGAAGATGAGTTGGTGCCTCTTTTTGAGAAGGCTGGTCCCATTTGGGATCTGCGTCTTATGATGGATCCACTATCTGGTCAGAATAGAGGGTATGCGTTTATCACCTTCTGTGGAAAGGAAGCTGCACAGGAAGCTGTTAAACTGGTACGTCAAAAATACTTTCTTAGCAAGTCTCTAATTGAAATAGACCTCGGTTAAAAAGTGTTTGCAGTTAACAATGTTTTTTATTATCTTTAGTTTTTACTTTGACTGTTTTTAATATTAACTGAGGTTTATGTGGCCTTTGCTTTTTTACCTAGTTGCAAAAGTTAAAAAAAAGAGTATCCAGGAAATAATGTATTATAAAAAGTCTACTATCATTTTAAGAAGTTATTCATTTGATTGATTGGTATTAAAAGTGTTCAGTATTTGGCTTCTGCAGTTCTCTTCTGATTTTAGACCGGAAGTATGTCACTTCTTACTATATAACTTCAGGATAGAATTCTTAAAGTATAATGAAGGCTGGGATGGGTTCTGGAGAATATAACAGTGGGCGACAATTCATTTTAGGACTCAATTCTAGAAAAGATTGTGAATCTGTTTTGTGTCCAATCATTTACTTTTTTATTTTCCAAGTATATTCTTGTTTTCTATCTTTTTATTTTTGAGCTCTTGATTTCTTTCTGTCTTTAATCTTTCTCTCCTTTTGTACTGTTTTATGGCCAATCATCTAGTGATTTTCTTTCTCTAGGGCCTTTTACCACCACTTTGCTATTTCAGAGAAGTATTATTATTATTATTTTTTTTGAGAGGTTTTCGCTATAGGGCGCGTGTGCTCACCAGACAGAGAGAGAGAGACATAGAGACAGAAAGTGAGAAATCACCCCCCAGAGGGGATGGTCACGCCGCAATCCCTTCTCCTCCATTCTCCTCTCGGGATCTTGGGCACGCACGCACACGCGCCCGGCGTGAGTTCTAAGCCACTGTGTCCGGGACACGAACCACGGTCAACTACGTGGGAGTCCAGCGACATAGCCATTATGCTAACTGCTGGTTCCCCAGAGAAGTATTAGTGATAGAAGTAGTAGTAGTAACAAAGTTCTGTGAATTAAGTATCTCTTCACTTACTATATTAAGGTACAACTATGTCAGTATCTTTTTCCATTTTCTTAAAGAGAGATTTTTGCTATAGGGTATGTGTACTTGCCAGAGAAACAGAGACAGAAAAGTGAGAAATTACCTCCTGGGGAGATGGCCATGCTGCAATCCCTTCTTCTCTGTTCTCCTGTCTGGACCTTGGGCACACATGCATATGTGCCCAGCGCCAGATCCAAGACTCAAACTGCAGTTGACTACATGAGAGTCCAGCAACATTACCATTACGCCATCTGTTGGTCCCAAGTATCTTAAGATAACAAGGTCATTATTATTGGCATGCTATTGCCAGGCAACTTAGAACCTCAGTCTAGTTCTAACCCTTCTTGGACAGGTAATCTATTTAACCAAGGCTTTTGATCTTTTAGTGGGTATTGAATTAGTTCCACTTCTAGCTTGACTCAGATTTTAGTTATTATTGATTTTACTGTCAAATTTATTTGATATTAAGTTTTTAAAGCCTTATTTCCATATTTTTGGCAACATATGGATGATTTTAGTTTGCTCTTAAATAATTATATATTTTAGTAAACTAATGCGTAAGTAATATTAAAGGATTAATTAAAGTTTATCAAGGAAAACACCATGATAGTGATTTGAATAAGACGTTTGTATTTCTTTTTGTAAAAATTTATGAAAGTACTGTTAGTGATATATAAAATTGAGCTTTATATGTATATGTTTCAAATCCCGTGTTTTGTAGAGAACATGAAATTCTTCTAAATGTTTTCTGCATTGGTTAAACATAGTTGTTACTCTATTTACTATTATTTTGACTATGACTTATCTAATTTCATCCTCAAGGGCCCTGAATGATCAGTCTCTGGTACTTTTCCTGAAATTCTCTGGAAAAAAAATGCAGATAGATAAAATTGAAATATGAAATAAGATATTTTTAAAAATAAAGTGAATATGTTTGAGTTCTTTTTATGTGGAGAAACATTGAAAGTTAACAAAAGCAAACTAGAACGAGACTGTAACAATGAAGTTTAAAATACACATTCATATTACAGCAAGCATAAGGGAACTCGGTGAGTTTGTGAAGCAGGGAGTGTTTGGCCTTAAATTGTTGAAGTTTTTAGATTAAGATCAGTCCTGAGTTTGGGGTGGTTTTGGGGGTCTCTGGTTTTTTTTTCTTCCTTGCAGTGTGACAGCTATGAAATTCGCCCTGGTAAACACCTTGGAGTGTGCATTTCTGTGGCAAACAACAGGCTTTTTGTTGGATCCATTCCAAAGAATAAGACTAAAGAAAACATTCTGGAAGAATTCAGTAAAGTCACAGGTAAAACAAAAATGTATTTAGAAATTAGGTTTTTTTCTTTTTTTTTTTTTTTTTTTAAAGTAGGGAGATGAGTATATTGAAGTAAGAATTCAGGCTCCAGTGTCATACGCTGCTTTATAGTGGTTTGAACTGAGCAGTTTCTTCGTACCCTGAATTCTGTAGAACGTACAGAAGCTAATCAAACCTTAGCTTCTGCTCAGGTGAAGATGTTTTCCCCGGACATTTGGCATACTTTAGGCGCAAGGGGATGAAGTTTGTACTATTCTTTACTGTTGCCTTGGGTAGATAAGATATTTTGTAATTTTTTTAGTTCTATTAATAAATTTATGGAATTGATGGAGAAGTACCTATTTTCCCTCTTTTTTAATTTGCCAGAGTGTGTGTGGACTGAGAGAGAAAAAAGGCAATATCTTCCCAATGGGGGATGGTCATGCTGCAGTCCCTTTTCCAGTTTTCCCTCCTTTAAAGATTTTGGGCACACATGCACAAGTGCGCAGTGTGTTTTTGAAGCCACTTGGTCAGAGACTTGAACCATTTTATCAGCCATGTGGGGTCCAGCCACCTAAACCACCATGCCACTGGCTAACTTGAGAAGTACATATCATATTACAGGTCTCTTTGTGTACTTGTATATAACTGAAACATAATTAAAAAAAAACATGCTTTTGAGGCTGGCAGGTGGTGTGGTGTTTGGGGCGGCTGGACTCCCATATTCGAGTCCTAGATCTGGCAGCTTACTTTCCTTCTCTCTCTCTGGTCCACTTCAAAAAATAAAAAAAATAAAATAATGACAATGAATAAAATGAAATAAAGTAATTCCTTTAAAAAAAAAAGTATGCTTTCATTTGTTATGCATACTTACTCTGTTTCCTGTCCATTTCATTATTGTTTCCTGTCCATTTCATTCAAGACTTACTGTCCTTTCTTCTTCTTTGAAGCTGTCATTTGTTGCTCTTCTGATTTCAGCCTTTGATGAATCTGAGCATTGCTTCTCAATCAAGTCTTCCTCTTCTGCCCTAAATTGACTTATTCTTGGTACCTTTAACATCTACATGGAGCAATTAGCTATCCAAGGTCCTAGATTCCTAGTGCTGCACTTCTCTGACTCCCTAATCTCCAATCCTTTTCAGCTCCTCCATGTCCAGATCACATTCTGGATATTGTCACCAGAAAGTCTACCCCCTCTGAAATCTTTTCAGTGTCTCATTTTGTAAACAACTGCCGCTACTTGTTATAATTGTGTTGGTTAAATATTCCCAGTGGCACAGTTCTCTGAGCTCCTTTCTGGCTGTGTGTCCATTTATTCACTCCTTTAGCAGATGTTTTTTAAAGTGCCTGTTAAGTGCTGGCATTGTCTGTGTTCTGGGTGGGATGCAATGGTGAATAAATGAGACCTGTTCTCTGCCCGCATAGAGCCTACGTTCTGAGAAAATAGATAAGACAGAAAAGTCAAAGAAATACTGATACATTGTGATAATGCAATGTGAAGGTAATAAAGGATATGTAGCTAGAAAATGACTGCTGCCTCTGTTTTGATGGTTTTGGAAGGTTTCCTGACAAGGTAAGATTTCAACCAAAACCTAAAGGATGAAGAGGATATAGTTTACGAAGAGCAGAAAGTACATTTCAGGAAAGCAGCACAAGGCTCCAAGGCTTGAAAGAAGTCAGTTATTTAACTGAGAGAAGACCAGTGTTAAAAGGTAGAAGTCAGAGAAGGATTGTGTGAGATGAAGTAGACACGGCTTTTGTAGACCATGTAACGAATTTAGACTTTATTGCGTATATAATGAGAGGGCTATTTGAAGGTTTAAAGCAGGGAATAATATGTTTCATTTTTCTAGAATATTCATATCTGTGGATAAGGACTTGGAAGAGGGAGTCGAGAGTAGAAGCTGATGAGTTAGTTGAGACTGTCATAGTTATTCATTAGAAAATGGGATTAGGGTACTAGTGCCGAGGAAAAGAAGTAAATGGTTTTGGAGTTGGATAGGGGAGACAAAATAAAAGAATAAAAAAGAATGTCTGGCTTGAGAACTGGGTGGATGATGGTACCGTTTATTACATAGGGTAGATTTGGGACGTAGTGGTTCGGTTTGGAACATGTTAAATTTGAAATGCCTAAGACGTCAAAGGGAACATGTTAAGCAAGCAGACACATCTGGAGCCTAGAGAAGTCTGGGTTTAAAATAAAATCTAAGCATTTGTACGGGTATAGATATTATTTAAAAGTAGGGTGGGTCAGCCTGGTAGCCTGGTGAATAAGGAGCCAGATCCTACTTGGCCAGCTGCATAGTTTTAATCCTGGTCCTTGTGACTTGAAAAACGCTCTGGGTACACATATGTTTCCAAAATTCCAACAGGTTGGAGAATTGTAAGAGAAGAGATTGTGGTATGACCATAGCCCATTGGGTGGTGCTTTTCTTCCTCACCTTTTCTGGTGAATGTATAACCCCTCTGGCAAATTGAAAAAAAAAAACATTGGGCTACCTGACCTACATAGAACATATATGGAAAGACAAGGGCAAAGACTACGTCTAGGTGGTCACAGTATTTAATCGATCCCTTTTATTATTGGTAAAAACAGTAACTTTTTTTTTCTGGCATGCATATGCAAGTGCCTGTGTGTATCTTAAGCCACTGAGGCCAAGATGTGAACTGTGGCTGGCCATGTGATACCTGGCTCCCTGTGTTCTGTGTACACTGCACCACGGTACCAGCCCTGTAGTAACTTTTAAATTAGATTTAAGGAAGGTTTTCGGCCATGATTAATTGTTAAAAGTTTGTTCTCTTGGTTTTATATTAATAATTCTTTTTCTTTTTTTTTTCTTTCTTTTTTTTTTTAGTTTGCTACAGGGTGTGTACATTCACTGGAGACAGACAGAGACAGAGAAAGAGGGGAAGTGATGAAATCACTCCCCAGGGGGTATGGCCATTCCTTCTCCATTCTCCTTTCAGGAGAATGCTCATGCATGCACAAGCACCTGGCGTATTTTTCAAGCTGCTGGGTTCAAGACTTGAACTGTGCAGATGACCATATGGGATCCAGCCACCTTAACCTCTGTGCTACCTCCTGGCCCAATAATTTGTTTTTAAGGTCCCTCGTAGTGCTTTTATACATTGTGAGGTCATGTTGTATCAGACACTGTCCAACATTATAGAATGTTAATGTTAAAATAGAATATTTAGATCTGTTGTATATGACCGTACCTTTAGGATCCCTGATATTAAAACGGAACGTGAAATACTATCTCAAACCTCATATCTAGTTTTGTTGATCTCATTGTCTATTAGTGGCTCATTTGAGACTTTAGTTATTTTTTGTTCATGGCAAGTAGATTTAGGTCTGCCTAATTGCTAGACGTGTGGTGGATGCTTTTGGCTTATATATCTGGCTGTTGGTTTAACAGAGGGTTTGGTGGACGTTATTCTCTATCATCAACCCGATGACAAAAAGAAGAATCGGGGGTTCTGCTTCCTTGAATATGAGGATCACAAGTCAGCAGCACAAGCCAGACGCCGGCTGATGAGTGGAAAAGTAAAAGTGTGGGGAAATGTAGTTACAGTTGAATGGGCTGACCCTGTGGAAGAACCAGATCCAGAAGTCATGGCTAAGGTAAATGCAGTAGCTTGGGGTTACTATTTAAATTTTGTACTCGGAATAAAGCTCAGATTTATCGAGTTGTATGATGAATACAAAGAACAGTTTTTCACCTGTACTGTTTAGCCAAGGAGCTGTTTTAAACACTGAAGTTAACAGCCTGTTTTATTAGTATACAGGAAATGTCATTAATAATCTCTTTGATTATGCTTTTGAGTACGCACTGTTATTTGTTTAGCACTAGGTTGTATGAGAGATACAGAGGTTTGGGGAAAAAAGATGTGTTGTCAAATAAATAAAAATGATGTTTCAGAGGTAATGAATTATAATCATTATCCACCATACTATGACTTTTATTAAGTGGCCATGAATTATATTTTAATTTATTTATTCCCCCTCCCCTTTTTTTTTTTTTAAGGATTTTTGCCATAGGGTGTGTGTACTCACCAGAGAGACAGAGAGAGAGAGGGAAAGTGAGAAATCACCTTCCAGGGGAGATGGCGATGCCATAATCCCTTCTTCTGCATTCTCTCAGGATTTTGCACACGCATGCGTGCACACATGCCTTGGTGTGCTTTTCAAGCTACATGGTCCAGGACTTGAACAGAGTCGGCCATGGGATCCAACACCTTAACCACCACACCACCTGCTGGCCTTATGTTTTTTTTTTAAAGATCAGAAATAAAGATCATTTTCTTTTTTAAATCATTAAGTTCTCTTAGAGTATTGTTCCCATTATGGAAGATAAAGGAGTATCATGTTGTTGCTCTGTAGTGATAAAGTATTCATGGCATCTCCTGTAGAGGCCCCTTAATTCCCTCCTAAGCCTTGTACTTGCATTGCCAGGATGTTTGCCTGGTGAGGCATGGTGCCATGAGTCCTTGTTCTTAGGACTTCCTTTGCATGTGACCCCTAAGGTTGAAGGGCTACATCAGAAGAGCGT